CTGGTCAAGAGTGAGCTTTAAAAATAAATAAGAAGGGGTTAATTACAGCTATTAAAGGACTTGGTACATATCTGAATAAAAGAAGATTATATCAATCTAGTAAAGAAGTGCCGATTAAGGGTACGACTTTTTAAAGCAGCTAGTTGGGATGGGTTAATAGACAGGTTGATGCTTCGATAAGAAATTATTGAAGTAACTGATGAAGATTGATAGAGGAAAAAACATTCTAAATATATATTTAAGTTACATAGTTTAAACGTCCTAAACTTGGAGAGCCAGTTATACCTATTGAGGGGCAATTGGTGACTAATTTTTCTCTCAATAGTAATAATTATTATGTAGAAGAATCTCATGAAGTCATTGGCTACTTAAGTTTAATGGGGAGATGTGCTCAATTAGAGCTGTGACTCTCTGGCTACAGTGCAAAGGAGGAACCTATGGTTCGTTCTATATTCTCTCTATTAGGTTTGAGAATAGGCTCCTCTTCGGCATTACGGAGGGCCTTTCTATAAGTTTTAAGAACGCAAAATTGAGCGATATTCTAATAATTTCGAAGAGCGCCATTTCCTTTCTGATTTCCTTTTTTTCTGCTTTAATTGGTGAGTTTGGTGGTTGTACCACGGTGCTAGTTTCCTATGTTTTAATAATTTCCTTTTTATAGGAGCGATAGAATCTAATGTTGTACGCAGTGAGCCTGCAGCACTATTAACAAGATTATCAATTGCGGGAGTGGACTAAGTTGTTATACGATCTCGTGTATATCTCAGACATGGCATTGAATTAAACACTGATGGAATCTCCTCCTTAAATTTAGCTACAGCACCGTCAGATAGACATCTGCTGTAGGAAGTTTTGCCTAATGGCTTATAATCTAATAATAGAAATTCAAAAGTTATTAAATAATGGTCAGATAGGAAAGGATTATGTGGAAAGACTGATAATGCTCCTTATATATGTCTGTAAATAGGCAACAAGTTCACTAAATCAATTTAAAAGATGATAATTTGTCAGCGTGTTTCCACTACCCCTTGTGGCCAAAAATCAGGTAGTGCAGGTTTAAATTGATTTAAAAAAAAAAAAAAATAGAATCTTTCTTTGTTTATGAGCTTTGAACATCGGATTGCAGTGAACACACTGTTGCCTTAAAACTGCTTCGGTCACCAAACTGCAGTGTAACGTCTGCAAGTCCCTTTTGTGGCCACATCTTTTATAATTTACACGCTTCACGCTATCTGCCACGTTCACTCTTCCTCAACCTCTGACTCATCATTTATTGAACACTCGATTTCTCAGTTCTTCATCCCTCTCTCTCTGTGTTTGCCAGTTTGCTGACCTCACCGAAGCTGCAGCCAGGAATAATGATGCCTTGAGAGTGGCCAAGCAGGAGGCCAATGACTATAGGCGCCAAGTTCAGGCACTTACATGTGAGGTGGATGCCCTTAAAGGAACTGTGAGTATGCAATTTTATGCTTTCACTGCAGTATACTGGATAATGATGCAACCCCCACCAGTGTTTTCAATCCATATGTAGCTGGAATCAAACAAACGGAGCACAGAAAGTTTAGAGCTGCATGCGTTTAAACAATGACACAGCAAAGAGATTAATATCCATGGAGAGATTATTTTCCCAGATCACCTTTGTATTTTGATTTTAATTTGAAACAAGTTATTTTCACTGCCTAAGTGTCATTCTGTTCCCTCTTGGCTGCCGTCCCAGAATGAGTCCATGGAGCGCCAGATTAGAGAGCTGGAGGAGAACTTCTCCTTGGAGACGGGCAGTTACCAGGACACCATTGGACATCTGGAGGAGGACATTCACAACATGAAGGACGAGATGGCCCGTCACCTCCGGGAGTACCAGGACCTCCTAAATGTCAAGATGGCCCTGGACATCGAGATTGCCACCTATAGGAAGCTACTGGAAGGAGAGGAAAGCAGGTAATGGATGATGCCCTTCAAAAATGTAAAAAGTGCAGGAATTTAAATCATTCACATTGTCCAGTTGACTGATGTGTATACTGTTTGAGCATTCATTAGATTAAACAAAGATGTACTTTCTCCATTTTCAGAATCACCACCCCACTGCCAAGCTTCTCGTCTCTAAACCTGAGAGGTAGGATCACATTCTGCATGTCGATTTTCCAGCAGCGTTAGTTTGTATTGATTATTATGTCACCAGTTAATATACTGTTAATACAACACACTATTTTTCTTTCTTAGAAACAATGATCGATTCCAAACCTCATTTTGAATCCACAACAACCAAGAAGGTTCTCATCAAGACCATTGAGACTAGGGATGGTCAGGTAGAATCCACTTCAAGTGATTTCCAATCAATGTAGTCATTTTCTGAGTCTAATGTAGTCATTAGAGCTCAGACTCACAATCCATCACCTTTTCTCTGTCCTCTGCATCCTTGTTCAGGTGATCAACGAGTCAACCCAGAACCACGACGACATGGAGTAATAATGTCTTTGTCTTTGCCAAACAATCAACTAAAGCAATAAGAAGAAACACAATTCACTGGGGCTACAAGCAAGCAAACAAACCAACAACACACAAAGAGCAAATAGCTTCTAAAAGTGCCTTTATATGTGATGATCCAGTAAGCCTGTTAGTTGACACACACTGTATTTTGCTTCCCTTCCTTTGCTGAAAGTATTATCTTTTGTCACATTTGTTTAGACACAATAATGAAATCAGCACAACATAGAAATTCTTATTGAGGTCTACAAAAATCTTTCTTTGTAACCAAAGTAGTATTTTTGATCAATACATTGCATGCACACTCCAGGTAACCTGTATGCTAAAGATGTCACAATTGCCTGTATGCAGCAATAAACCATCAAGACTCAATACTGTGCATTAAGTGTAATACTTTGTAACACCTGATGGTAATGAGGTAGCATTAAGCAAAACAATTCCTCATGTACGAAAGTGGACATGGTCATCATTTTAAGTAACACATGAACTGTGTAAAAATGTCTGCATTTGGAAGAAATTCTTTTTTTTTTTCTCAATGAGGTAAAAACATTACATGCATCAGCTGTTTCAGGAAGCTAACTGATTTGGGGACTAAATTATCCAGCTGTATTACTATGACTGCAATGATTTTTATGTTTTTGGGAGGACATATAAGACACTAAAGAATAAACATACATATTATCATCATAAATAGGTGGATTTAGGCTGTGGTAAAATAAAAAAGTGTCCTCACTGACAGTCAAGTTGAGCTGCATTATGTAAGGCAAGTAATATTGATAGGCTACTTATGATTCCCCTTCTTTTCATTTACTGCTTTCCGAAGGTGATTTATTGACACAACGTCAATAAAAACTCAACAAGCTTTATTAAGAGGTGTTTTTTTTTGCAGGATGGTTGTGTTGCATTGCATTAGGTTGTATAGGTGTACCTAATAAACTCCTAACTCAGTGTGCAGTGTCACACTGTTGGTGTTTGGGTCCCTCAGCTTCCCTGTTAGTATAATTACAATATGGAGAGAAATTACAATGTTAAGTCAATTAAGAACCAACATATATGAAAACCTAATTACAGCTGCTTAATGGATCTTTATGTAAGACTGTTTTGACAGCTGCTGTTTCCAAGGTCAAAGTGAAGCTTTTAAGCCGACATGGACAAGTAAGTATTCAGAAAAACATCTACAATTCAGTGACAACTGGGCAAACTCCAGCTAATGATGAAGATCATGTTACAGCTGCAGAACGCTACTAAACTGACCTTGAGGCAAGATTTGTTTGTCAACAACACATTAAGTAAATATCAACTGTAACAGGGTTAGCAAAATTAAATTCCATCGTTACAAAATTCAATCTGTCGCAGGCTGTTTGTTCAAAATACATTCAAGATGTTGTAAGAGCACTGATGTTGCATTATAATATCTAATGTGCTGTGACACAATGTAACTTGTAATGTACTGTGTTAAAACTGTGTTTAAGTTCAGTGTTTGAACTGAACTTAAACACAGTTTTAAAATATACTTTATACTTCAACTCCACTTCATTTCTGAAATATTTTACATTTGTCTGACAGCTATAATAACTTTAGATTAGAATTTTACCTGTAAAACACAATTGGTTCATACATAATGATGCGTCTGTAATAATAATCACATAGCCTACTATAATATATGATTTTGAAATAGGCAGTTCTGCTGCATAATTAGTATTTCTGATGCTTTAAGTGCATTTTGCAGATAATAGGCTACTTCTGTATGATATTTAAATACAACTGTGAATGCAGAACTCTATTTGAGTTGTTTAACATTGTTGCATTGTCGTGTAAAGGATCTGAATACCTCTTCCACCACTGAATAAGTACATACCGATAACATTCAGTAAAAGTGCAATAAACTTACAAAATTATGATCCTTCAAAGGTCAGAGGTCACTTGTCCAGAATCATATCCAGATCAGTGATGCCTCCCAATAAGATCAAATGTGGCTGTATGGAAAATAAGAGAACCTGTGGTCAGAACCAGTCTACAAAAGATCCTGGCTTATTATTATTAGATTTATGCAATAAATAAATGATCTTACTCTGAATCTACTGAGAACCTGCTGTACTTGACTGCCATCTGTCGGTGATTCGTTTCAATTGAACTACCTCCAGTGGTGGGACATGAATGCTACAGCAGGCTTTTGTCAGTAATGGCCAGAAGCTTCATTAAATCACATTTTAATTTGTTATCTTTTACTGACCTAGGTCAAAATCTCGCGATAGATCACCCCAGAAGCGTTAAAAACGTGGTTTTACACAAAAGGGAATCAACAGGTTATTTGATTATTTTAAACAATATTGTCCCCGTTTAAATCAGTGCAGTTTGCATTTCTGCTCATTTTAATAATCCGGGATACTTGCCAGTTAATTAATGTCGCTTGTTTTCGCCGGTCTGCCCCGAGAGATCCGGTGTTTGTCGACAGAGCAACTTTCTCCACGTGACGTGTCTGACGGAGGAAACGCAAGTCGAGGGAATATGCCGGCATGAGCCGTATACACTCAGTTTTTCGTCTCTTTAATCATTTTCGTACCTTGCTGTCGGTAAAACAAAAATGAATTTACAAGCTAACGAGTTGTGAGTGACAGAGGTGGGTGTGTTTTTTTGTTTTTTTTGTCTTTTTCCCGGGCGCTTTGTTTAGTCGCACCTGGCGAGTGGAAAATAAATGGAGTCAAGTTTCAACAGGTTTTGAGTGAAGATGAAACTCAGAGTCACCGGTTCCGACTGAAGCTTTTAAACCTTTTTGTTTTGTTTTGTTTTGTTGGTGATGGGCTCGGTGACTTCTGCTCTAACGAGGACAAGAAACGCGTTGGTGAAAGTGGGTTCCGAGCCGGAGAACCATGACCCGGAGAGGAGCCAGTCCGCCCCGGAATCGGACCGGGCCAAGAAGAAGAGCGCGCGGTTCAACGTCGCGAGCCAAACCGCGCGGCAGAGCTCCCGTCAGTCGCTGTCCGAGGTGCTGAGCAGACAGGAGTCCGACGGGGTCAAACAAAGTGCGAAGAAAAAGGGTTGTGAAGGTGAGTTAGACAGTTACTTGAAGGCAGGAGTCAAGTTTGTAAATCTGTGCTTAACTCTGCACTTTACATTGTAAACTTTATACTTGTTATTTTACAACACTGGCATGCAGTGTATTCATGCAGCTCACCAATGTTTGGCTTTAAGTCGATCACCACCTGAAGGTCGTATCACTCTTTTGACTTAAAGAGGGAAGGAAGGAGAATGGACTCCAATAACAAGTAGGTAAATGGTGATAGATGGAACTTTTCTGTTCTTCTCTCATGAAACTGACATTTCTCATGTGTTTTTGGAAGCACCCGGGCCTCACATTCAGCCGCTGTGTTACTTTATGCTGCACATCTCTGTGTTCAGTTCATGGATGTATCTGTAGATGAGAGCGAATGGTCACTTCAGAGGATTACTGTGAATATGCTGCTGCAAAATAAGGTATTCACTGAATGAATGCCGAGCTCTTTGAAGACCAGTCTCAATGCAACATATCTCCACTACCAAAGCATCTCTTTGATGTTTTAGGTGTCCCTCTGGACTGAAATAAGCAAATGACAGTCCTATTAATTTTAACACGTGCACATGTGAAACTGCAATTTTGCAGAGATGTGATATGGCGTTTTTGTTGGAAATACATGAATCGGCACAAGTTGTCTGGTGAATGCACACCAGACTTTAGGTGCTGGTTATGGTATGACATAATTGAAAATAGACTGACCGCAAGCTCCAATAATTTAGCTGTATCAACAGTGTTCGACTGCAGTCAGCCTTTTTTAAGGCTAGACAAGATGGATGAACATTTCAAACTAAGAATTTTGCAGAGTTGTGATATGGGAGAAACATGGTATAAAGTCTTTCCAGCAGTTTTCAGTTCAGTGAATCTGTGGGCAGTTAATGAGGAGCAGTCCAGTTCAATAGGCGGTGCAGCTCATCAAAATTCCCTTTAATTACTGTTGTAAATGCAGAATGTTCAATGTTTATTTTACAGTTTCGTCCTTTACGTTACTCAGTGTTTCCTTCAGCTCATCCTGTTTATGTTCAACTCTCTCCACCTCTGCCACCTGTAGTTCCAACTCCCCGCATATCTGTCCCAGAGGGAAATCCTTCTCCCTGGTTGACTCCTAAAATACCATCTGTACTGTGGCGTTTCCATGACCGTGTGACAGTGTAGACTCCCGTTGAGTTTCCTCCCTGGTCTCCAGTGATGATCAAGTGTGTTGAGAAGTCTCCTGCCTGACTCTTGGGTGACTGTACACTCATCTGCTTCCTCGTGAGGAGCAAAACACAGACATTTACCTCCCGATCAGCTTATCTGTCAGTGGTGTGATCTCAACTACTGCTTAGTTCTGAAGGTAGGAGATTGCAGAGAACAGTTTGACATCAGTTCTAATAACTTTGGACCATGGCTCGTATCTGAGCTGCCATTCCAAATGAGACCACACACCCCCACAATTAAAATGTTGGATTGTTTGTTGTGTCAAGTCTATTTCAGCTTCCCAGAATACATGACCACTGTAGCTGGAGCTTTAAGTATATATAGTCAAGTCCTACATTCAGGTGTAAATATAAACTACTGGAGAGATTCTATAATAATAGTGGTTTTGATGAGCTGCAATTACCCTGCTGTTGATTGCCATACTGGTCCAAGAACTAGGTCATATTCAGAGAGTTTCCTGTGGCGTACAAGGAGCTGGATTTGCTCTGTTAGCGGGTATTAGTCACACTGAATGGTACTTTAATATTTAGCACATTGGGAGGAGAAACGGTGGAGTAAAGTTGTGTTTGAGATTATACTTTGACTTATCTTTTGAGAGGTAATATTGTACCGTATGGGCAGTCTTGTAGAAAGAGAAGTCAGTGAGACGTCTTTCAGTTTCCTGATTCATGCTTCCTATCCATCAGAATCGTATGCCACCAAGCTTATCAATGCCGGCATTTTATCTGACAGTTGTGTTTTGCAAAACAGTGAGGTGAAACTTGCATATTCACTACTGGAAACAAGACAACTAGAAGGAAGGCACAAGAGGCAAAGAGGAAAAAAATGGTCCAAAGCGTGCCTCAAGAAACTCAAACTACAGTAACTTTACTCTTTTTGTACACTGTGTTCAAACCTGTGTAGGTTTGTGTAATGGTATTGGTATCAATTGAAACTATGGATATACCAATGTTTTTTGAGCAGAGAAAAAAACTGATTTTATGTTAATAAATCATTAACAAATAACATACTTTAGGTAAAATATGTAAGGAAAACTGGGAGTCAGACCTGGTTTTCCTGAATTTCCTTTCCTTCAGAAACATAGGCCACACTCCATTATATTTTGGAAATTGAAATTATTTTAATACAGCATTTAACATATTGGTAACACTTTTAAGTCTCCTTAAGCATATATAAGAAGTATATAAACAGCTAATAAATGGTTTATAACACACTATAATGTAATTGTATGCAGATATAAGGACATTTTAAGTGTTTATTAATGTACAGTATTTGTCAACAATCATAACTTCTGTTATGAAGAGACATTTTCCAGTATTACAACTGTTTTCCTACATTGTCAGTCCAGCATCTCCTTGTGGGTACCCACAGGAGGAGTTGTAGTTCTTGACAAATAATGGTAAACACTTAAATCTGCTAATCACTAACATTTTCAGAATATAATTAAGTCATTAACCATGAAATACTCATGAAGATCTCAGGAAGGCATCATGTATACATTTGCACAGGGCACTGATAGAAACAATGTGTGAACAACCCTTCATAATAATGTGGTGTAATAGGTGATTAGTGTTTTTGGAATGGCAGACTAATGTAGACTACTGCTACTGTAGTTATTACTATATGATGATACTTGCTTCATTCATAAATAAACAGGCATTAGCAGCCTGGAAATCTATTTTGTAATTGGATACCACAGTTGATCTCATAGGGCTGTAAATAGATAATACATAAAGGGGCAACACAAATCAATGAAATATGAACGCGTTCAAATTTTAATAAGACAACAAGCCTCTTGGGTATGTTGATCAGTGGCTAAAATCTGCTTTAGAACTGGTATTTGAGTGTGTAAAATGTAGTTTGAATAATCTTTATCAACAAAATCCACAAAAAAGTGATTGGTGGGTATGCATGAATCAGTGGGACATTGTACATCAAACTGTTGCATTTCTGTGGACAAAATGCTTCAGTTTGCACAATATTTTCTCACGTGTCACATTCTGTCTATAGGGAAATGAAAGAGAAGAATTTCTTCTTTCATGTTAATACAAAAGCACATTACTTTATCAGGACCAAGAACCAAAACCAAGCTTTGAGACAACAAAGCAACACTGAACAATCTATTACAAGCCCAGTGACATGTGATGTAGCTGTGACACATGTCATGAGACATGTCACAATTTAAAATGACATGAATCCAGCAGCAGGGGGGCCCCATATGGCATCCTTCATCTTCACATCTCATCCTTTCATCTCTGCCTCACAGTGGTGGGAGACCTATAGAGAGCAAGGAAAAGATGCAGGTGGAGGAAGGGAGGAGGCATAAATAAGGAACCAGAAAACACTAGTATGTCTGTAGTGTAGATTTCTGCAACCATGTGAATTACGCTCATATGCGACTAAATTGCATTTGCAAGTTGCATTCAATACCGGCATTTTGTGTCAGTACAAGAAGTCAAGTGAGAGATGTTCATGTAGTACAGTGAAAAGTAAATGTGCAGGTCAGGGAGGTGGGCTCCTTCAACATATGTGGCTTGGGTTCACATCTGCTGTCATACATCTGGTCAGTGTTGACATTAGTGCTCCCAATTTTAAGACTCCCAACCTAAAAGATACCCTGTGGAGTTTCTGAACGCAAGTGTTATGGAGCAGTACTTTATGAACGAGGTCCCTAATTGTGGTTTGACACTAATAGCAATAATAATAATGATAACAATACTGATGATAAACGTAATTTACAGGGTAAAAGCAACATTACTCATGGAGGTGTTGACCATATAAACACTAGGAACTATATAATATATAGAATAAGCTAGAAAGCATAAAACAGAGTACAAACACAACAATAAATAAAGATGAGAGATAAAACAATAATAATGCTGTAGAACAGAGAGAATAGGTGATCACAGGCTAGAGAATAAAAGTGTGTTTTAAGAAAAGACTTAAATGAAGAGATTGAAGAGATTTAGCCATCCTCATCTCCTCTGGAAGGTTGTTCCAAAGGGCGGCCCTGATGGCAAATGCTCTGTCACCTTAGTTCTTTAATCTGGATTTAGGAACCACCAGGAGATCAGCATTTGAGGACCTCAGGGCCCGTGACGGCACACGGGGAGTTAAGAGATCAGAGATAAGACTTGGGGGCAAACCATTCCAGGCTTTTAAAGTGATAATTAATATTTTAAAATCCACTCTAAAACTAAAAGGCAGCCAGTGCAAAGATGAAAGGATAGGTGTAATGGTCTCTTGTAGATCACTGTTCTGCTGTTCTGCAGGTGGTGGTGATGCACCAAGACATGCAGCAGTGGGCCAGTAAAGGCTAGCCAGTAAATACTGATATAAATAATGCAGGTTTCAAACTTTTAAGAAAAATCTGCTTTGAAAATGTTTTATGAGGAGAGATAAGGAACGCATTGAGCTTGTTTGTTAGACCTCACAATGCGTTTTGGTGAGTAACACTTAACGTCAACTTTGGCTCTTTACAAGAAAACTCCACAGGGCTCCTTTAACTGAGTTCCTTTGTCACCAAGTCTTAACTATATTTTATAATATAGTTGCCACAAGTGGTTATTGTAGGAATAGCCAATTGGAAAACACATGTTTCAGGTACATTTCGAGTGAATTTGTACGCAGTTTTTTTCTTTTTAATCCCAGAATCAGCAAATATGTTTGAATGTATCAGCACAATATTTCGTCAGTGTTGTGCCAGAGTTGTTTGATATGACATTCACATGTATGTGTTTTGCTATTAAAGAATAGCTCCATGTGAACATTCATATATGTTACAATACAATCAAC